TGAACGTAAGGAAGCTAGTATCGCTGAAAGTGAGGAAGTAACGTTCACCTCCCTAGAAAACGACAACGACGGGGCTATCAGTCGCCAACAGTGTTGCCTGTATCACTGCGCTTCCTTCAAACACGTGACTAGTGAGAGGCGTTTTGGGTGGCGAAAGGCTCACTATTTCGTTAATGGTTGGCTAGGGTTGGGACAACTTGACCGCAGCTGGTCTCACGGTTATTGAAAGTAAAGCTTGGTTGATGCAAAACGGAAACGAATCAATCAGAAGTACATGCGATTTCGCATGAGCCGTTCTTAGTCCGTCAGCAGGCCTGATAATACCTGGTAACCCGTTTCCGAGTTTTTCCAAGGAATTCCACCCGAACGTACCTATAAAGATCACGACCTACAATATTGCAGAGTTTTTAGCTACGCCTGTAGCCTCTGCACAGCCATGTGATGCACGTGGAGATCGTGCGAAGAACAGCTGATTACATGGAACTTATACATTCCTCAGAATCCCGTCTGCCTTGCAGCTGTCTGTCCAAGTAGAACATAAGGTTGACGGAAACCCGGGGACTGCGCCTACCTGATGAGCCCCAAGAAAGGCGAAACCAGTCGTGAGCTGTCGATGGATTTTCAGCAACCTTATGAGTAGTTACAAAGATGTATATGTCTGTCCACCTTTGTCTAGGGTAGAAAAATGAAAACTATCTTTGCTTGGATATCCTTTCCTTCCATAACGTCAGTGTAGCAGCTGGAATCAGTTTGCGCGTTCCTTATGACAGAAATCCATAAAAACTATTTATGGAATTGTAATCAATTTTTCATCTCACAAGCACGAGTAAACTTTAGTGTCATAGTTGACTGGCAGTACCGCCTGTATCGTCAGCAATTATTTTCTACCACCCTTGAAACGCACTGGTACACGAAACTGGGACTCATGTAGGAGGATGTAAAGTAGGGTGTTTAAATGTGTTTAGCTAGTTCGCTTGTTTGGTGTTCGGGGGCCAGCCGTCCCCACTGACCGAACAGCACATCATTTGGACGGATGTGTCACGTGCAGGACACGGCCAAACGAAGGCATGCCCTGATTGGTCAGAATGCCAGCCAATCCGAGTCAAGCACCTGTGACTCGACGCTTCTCGCCCTCTCACGGAGATTCTGGTACGACCTTGTGGAACACTCTGTGACTACCCTATAGATACAGTTGTAATAATTTCCCTTTGTCTCCATAAAGGGCTGTGTAGATCTACCGTGCCTTTTGATATACCATAGTGGGCGGAG